ATGTTACTCTTAATACAATGTTTCAAAGCTTTCAATAACACCTTAGTTTGGAAAGATCCAGACAGTAGAGAAGGGGAAGGTCAAAATGTAGTGGAGAGGGCAAAACTCCCTCTACATATAATAGGCCAAGCCGAAAACAAAAAACAAAACTATCGATAAAATTATCAAAAGCTCAGTCCTCGTCAGTTTCTCTTAAAGTAACTGCTTTAGGGTTATGGAAATTTGAAAGCTTTGTGGTTTTACTGATAAATCTCATCAATGATTTGATATTGTTTCTCTGAATACGTGAAAGCAAATGTAAGGATGTGAATAAGGTGTGCTGTTTGAAAATCATGTCCATTTATTGGAAAGGGAATACTGATACGCCTGCCGGGTGGACTTATGTAATAATTGGTGTTATAATAGAGTTTGTGACCGCAAAGGCTCTTAGTCTGACCACAGATCAGGGCTCACACTGGAACAGAATTGTTCAATAGCTTTCGCTGGAACTGTGAGTTAGATCGACTATGTGACGATCACGAACCTAGTTGTATCTTGGTTGATATCATCAATACATAATTATTCATTAAATAACATGCAAGGAATTGGGAATAGCTAGTATTTTAAATAGAAACTATTTTGAAGTCAGTTCTTCAGATTTCATGTGTTACATACATTACAGGAATGGTTTTCATTTGACTGTGAGGGTTTATCATGTAATCAATTTGTTTTTCTCTGTCAGCTCAAAACAAAAAGAAATTTTCAGTTTCCTCTCTACAGTAAGGCCCAGTATCTTTGTTTCTCCTCCCTTTGGGTTGTATTTTGCTACTGGTTGCAAACTATTCGCGAAAAGTGTGTTTTACTAATTTATGATACGTTTGGTGTCCTTTGGTTTTTATCATTGGAATATGTCATTCTTTATAGTTTTAGTTTTGATTTTAATATTCCCAGTCGATTGAAAAGGGTTCAGCTTCACTTCTAGCGGAATGCATATTTAAATTTTATGTTTCAGCGAGAGGTACATTGTATTCTTGAAAATTCACTCTAGATTTTGAGGAAATATCACGGAGCGTGGGCAAAGAAATATCAGAAGTGATTGCTGCATAAGGCATTTTGTTACGATTAACTGATGGGTTAACTCAACAAATACTGTGTTGTGACTTCGGTAATTGTTTACAGTTGTTAGTTGTTTCTGGCATCTTATGTAAGTGAATCATTCAACTTTTATCGTACAAAACGCGATTCCAAACCAGGATATAGGAGTTGCTCTAATTCGCTCCAGCATTAGGGAAACGTTAAAATCAATGATTATGCTTGGACATGTAATCATGCAAATTAAATTCATATTTCTTGGAATATTCAGTCGCCCTCGACAGCTTTTTTTTATTGTTTCTGCTGTTTAACCCACTAAGCATTTCTATAATTTGGAGGTTTTCTTCAAATTTAATTATATCTTGAAGTTATACTGGAAAACTCCTTTTCGACGGAAACTGGAGTGCCGATATAGTGAACTGAATGCACTGCACTGAACTGTTTCCAACATAAACACACTTTATCCCAGGGGACAATCTATGCTTAACTGTTTTTATTTAATTACACTAATCACTACCTGTCTCAGTCAACAGGTGTCTTTTCTCATAGTTTTACTCAGTCTTTGAAACTTTGTCTCTCCATATTGCTTCCCGGCTTTCAAATGCTTACAACTTAAAAGAAAATCCTAACCCCTGAAAATTTCATTTTGAATATCCCTACTTAGTAAGTATGGCTTGCATTGAGAACATCTCGGTGGATGTAACAGTTTTCATGAGTTCCTACAAGTTTGTCAATGTGGTTGTGGATTATAATGCAACGCGAGAATTCCATCAATTTTGTATTTGGTTTTAAAAAGCTTTAACCCACTTAGAACACATGCTTGGCGCCTTTGCTCTTATCTTCATAAGTGAATGGGTTTCTGCTCAATTAACATGTATCTTTGCATTTGATTGTTTACTCTTTAGATATCAATGCCCGCCTGGCAATGGAATAAATTAATTTGTGATTATAAACTTTCACACCTGTGTTTCACCAATCGCGAAAAAGTAGATGTTCAAGGTTTGCCTTACGTTTGTATCTAAAACTTAAAACCAGGGGAATAAAGAGGTGTTTCTTATCAAATAAGTAAGGACTGACAAGGAAGTAATGATTCAAGGTTATTGTCTTCTAAAGCGGGAAGAAAATTATGAAGAACGATAGAGACAAAGTAGAAACACTGTAAAGTGGAAATAAACAATTTGAAAAGTACCCCCGTCCTTTCCCTGGGGCTTGCGAATGAGGCGTAACCGAACCTGTGTAACAACTAAACTCCTATTGTAGATTGAATTTACAACCAGCCATTTTGATACCGAAATTTCCATGTTTATGAAAAGCGAGTTTACCACTCTACAAAATATCCTGTAGAGATTACCAAACATGCTTGATTCCTTACATAAGCATAAGTAAAGAAAACCAATGGTGTCATACACTGAAATTGTTTGCGGAATGTCGTAATTGCTAACTTATATCGACCCACTTGAAAGACAAAATAATCATACTAAATATTAAACGCGACGAGGAAAAAGAAAACCTATACAACGTGTATTTCTGATTACAAAAATTATAGCTCCTGGAGTATGGAGTTGTTAATTGTTTATTTCAAGAGATTATCGGAAATATTTTGGTTTGGCTCTATCTTATTACATGATTTACTCCTTTCTTAAATACAAATGATGACAAAAGAAAAATAAATGAAAAAAGATGTTATTCAGTGAATGACACAGGCATGCTCGGATGAAAAAGAACTCCGACTCTGACCGCTCTTAATGAGAGCTCTAGTGAATGGAACGGTTTACCTTTTGCAAGAGATATAACGCTGTCACAACAAAAGAACAGCCAGTTACGCGCCATACAGTTTTTTTTTGGTATTTTTTCGGTAGAGTATTGCGCGCCCTTATACCACCATACGATGATCTTGAACGTGTTCAGAAACGCACGCTTTCCGTAATATCTCTCCTGGAAATCCTTTCTTCTAGGTAACACAGACATAGAAAAGCCATTTCTTCTCACTGAACGGAACTGTTTGCCAGGATTAGGGTTAGGATTAGTTTACAGAAGGTAAATACTGTATTGTCATTCAAATGTTAGCAGCTGTAAGCATGATTATTATTTGCACAAACACACACTGCTTCCATCTCAAATCTTATTAACTCGCTAGGATATGTGTGTTGAACTTCCTTCCTGGTTTCACGTTTTTGTTTTTCTTCCGTGTCGGCAAAACTGGATGTACTTTGACTCTCAACAAAATGTCTTTTTTAGGGCCGTGCTAATGCAGCACGTAATTTGGATCTACTACAGCCAGTTACGCGAGCGTCATACAGTTTTTTTTTGCGGTATTTTTTCGGTAGAGTATTGCGCGCCCTTATATCACCATGCGATGATCTCGAGCGTGTTCAGAAACGCACGCTTTCCGTAATTTCTCTGCTGGAAATCCTTTCTTCTAGGTAACACAGACATAGACGAGCCATTTCTCCTCACTGAACGGAACTGTTTGCCAGGATTAGGGTTAGGATTAGTGTACAAAAGGTAAATACTGTATTGTCATTCAAATGTTAGCAGTTGTAAGCATGATTATTATTCCATCTCAAATCTTATTAACTCGCTAGGATATGTGTGTTGAACTTCCTTCCTGGTTTCACGTTTTTGTTTTTCTTCCGTGTCGGCAAAACTGGATGTACTTTGACTCTCAACAAATGTTTTTTTTAAGGCCGTGCTAATGCAGCACGTAATTTGGATCTACTTTTTTTTTTTTAAATTCAAATCACGCTTTGAAATATGCAATCGTCCGTGACGGGCGCAAACCCATTGGCGGAGTTCTGAAGGCGAGAAGCTCACCAGAAATAATTGGAGGGTGCCGAGGTGTCCTTTAAAATAATGCTGAAAAATTGAAGACTAGATATCCTTTCAAACTGATAGAAAACTGTTGCAAGAAGTATATGAGTTCTCATTTTGGGCCCGAGGACGTTGAATATGTTTTCTATAAGGAATTCCTTTGAGGCCAGTTCTCCTGCTGGGTTTTGCTGTATTGCTGTTGCAAACAGTCGCAGCGTATTTTGTGTACAATAATGAAATGTTTGTCGCAAGCAATTAACCGCTGAAAGCAACTGAACACTCTGGTTAAAGTAAATAGTAGATGTGCGTTGAGTAGCAACTGTTAATATTAAAACGGCATTAAATAGGCTCCCATTATTGATCATTCCTATGAACATTTTCCTATAAACTGAGATCTAAAAAGCGTGATGCGTTTGTGTGTCTCTATTTACTTAATGAACTTGTTTATTTTTTATTGTTTCTGAAAATTGTAGTTCGACAGGAATGCTTCCTGTCATGTGTCAAATAAGGAAGGACTTAGACGGAGTCTTGTTATTGAAGGTACGTGTCCTCTAAAACATCACCGAATATCATGATAATAATGCAAGCATTAGACAAGAAAACAAAGCGGAAACACTTTATAACAGCCATGGATGCTTTAGCAATACCTATAGCTTCCTTCGGTGAAGGTGCAAGGGACCTAATATCTTCATTCCGTTCCACAGTTGTAGTAAACCAAAGCTTACAAACTATGAATATCATTGTAAAGTAACGCGCCGCCAAAAAGCTGTAAGGTCCAGCTTCCGTTATCGCTGAAGGCAAGGCAAGTCCCATGTCTGAGACATCCGGCAGGAAGCTGACCGTCAAAATGTTAACTGTTGGCTGAAAAATCTAGATGTTCGAAGGCATTTGATTCAAATTTGATCGATAATTTATCAGATCAGTAAGGACTTTCAACAAGCAAGGAGGTTCCATAAGTCCAACTGAGTGTCCGATTATACAGAAAGTCCTGTGAGTAAAATGGCGCAAAACTTTTAGATGGATAAAGGTAGACAAATATTGTAGTAGAAATAAACTATTAGTGTGGCTTTAAGATCATAAATAGACGCTTACAAAGTTGAAATTAGTGGAAAGAGACACAGTCACGTACAGCACGTTTTCAAAAACACAAGGAGAAACTGTCGCTGAAACGGAAGTATCCATGAACATTGACATTGCATATGAATAACATTTAGAAGTGTATAAAATGAAGCAAAGCTTATCAAAGCTGCAGTGTAGATCAGCCACAGTCAAGAAGATAACAACAACAAGAAGGGAACCAAGAAGAAACCGAAGCAAGGGAGACAACATGTTACAGGTAAGTAAATATAGAGACTGATCATGATCAGGTCACAGTTCGAACACCCCAGGTGTGACAGAAATATGCACAACGCAGGCATCATTATTTCACCTTGCCTTAATGAGTTCGAACTTTTTTGTCCCTTTTTTTAAAAATCTCATGTTGTCTTGTGATTAAGAATAACATTAATATTTGCACTATAATTTTGGTTTTAGCAACCAACCCTCATTAGAGATCATCTGGCCTTCATTTTGCTGCTGCTTTGTACCTCAACAACCTTAATATCAGCTACAGATTCCACCACTAAGAAAGTAAGTACTTGGAATTCATTTTACAAAACGGGCTAATAGTTTTTTTCTCTATAAATAACCGCCTCCTAATCATGGTTATTTCAGTACGCGATAAAGTGTGCAAAAAATATTCCATCGGTCAACACGATGTTTTGCAAGCACTACGAAAGACATAATATATATTATACTGATATTTCCATCACTGTATATCTCAGGTTGTTGATTATGACGTCCAATTCAAAGAGTCTGGAACTCAGTACACCGAGAAAATTAAGGTGGACACAGACAAGCAAACTGAATTGTTTAAAGTTCCTGCTCATAATGACGTGGATGGAAGTAATATATTGCACGACTTCAAGGCGGTAAGTTTGTTTCTCTCTTACAGTAGAAGACACAGTTGCCGTAAAAAATTAGAGAACCAAAAAAAAAAAAAGAATGAGGAAGACAATGGAAACAATTGGCTGATGTGCGGTGTTCTATCGTGACGTGTACTATGAGGTGTCCTCTACACGATGAAGCCGAAAGTTTTTCCTTTATCAGTCATTGCAGGTGTTATCTTTCTAAAGTCCACTGGAATCTTTGACATTTTGATCAAATTCTAAAATTCAGGCTCGGATATCTTTGTGCGCTTGGTTTAATTCAATACCTTTAGGAACGTTCAAATAGTATGCCATATTACTCGATATTCACACACTTCACATTTTAGAATGTCTTACGTCCTTGCTTGGACATTCTCAAAGAAAACTTGTTTCTTGTTTGGCTTTAACGTCACCATTCTGTGACGGTTTGTTTATCCGAATAATAAATGATTCAAGTAAAGTAAAGTGAATTCGGTGTAGTTGTTTTGAAGCTCCCTCTGGAACAACATATGTATCATAAAAACGCTAATTTTCAAACGCAACTTTAATGGCAGAACCGGAAAGAAGGGAATTCACGCCTTAAAGCTACGTAAAGTATTTCCGCTTTCAGTGATTGAAACTCACTTCGTTCTCGTCTGCTTTCAACACAGAATATGAGTATGCTGATGTTACCAGACAAAAAGATCTGCTATCTTCTTCCTCTTTCCCGCGAGTTACCTTCGCCAAAGAGGCTCGAAAATGACCTTGACCACGCCGAGGTAAGGACACGTAAGCTACTTTACGAGCACCCACTGTTGCATATTTTGGAATCTGTTGGGTTATTTTGTTACGGACCGTTCAATGAAAACCCAGTTATCCTTATCGGAAACGGTTCCCTTAAAAGTAAAGGATGACAAAAATGTAGATCAAGAAACATATGTTTCGAAAGCCAGCTTAAAGAACGTGAGTTTTCGCGAGGATTGAAGCCTCAGGTCTTCCAATTCCTCTGCGGCATGCTCTATTTCATATCGCCAATGTAAATAGCGTTGGCAGATTTTATGTATGGCCCGGCTATAATGCAAACTGAAGGAAATAACCTTTGTCTGACAGAAAAACTCTAGTGACGAGACCACTACCATTGACAGCAAGTGGGCTGTGGACAGTGAGATAACAAATCGATCCAGTCTGAGCGAAGAGTTAAAAAACTTCTGTCCAGACTACCCGATATATCGAGTCTACACCATGGAGAACGCATCTGCATCCGAAAAGACTGAAACAGATGGTAAGAGGTGTAGTTAAAGACGACGCAGTTGTACTAACCAATTTTAGCGAAATCATCTCTCAGCTGCCCCACCCAGCGTGAGTCATACACTGCCCCCCCTTCCCAAAAACTCCACTCCTTACCTTGAGCCACAAGTTTTTTGCAATGAAGAACCCTTCCTCATAATCTTTAGATTAAGCGTCAAATACAATGCATAGCGAGCCGAAGTATCGCTTTTCTACTCAAAAATCAAAATTTATGAGATGTAATACGAAATGCTCATAAACACTTCCCTACACAAAATTTATCAAAGTCCCTGTATGATTTGAAAAACGTCATGTCCCTTTAAAACAGGAGCAAAACCTCGAAGTCGTCGATGGGTGTACTCGCCAATTTACGATTCCAGAGTGTGTCCAGGTGGAAAAGGCTATTTGAGCTTCTCCGACAGGTCTTGTTGCAGAAGAGTTGGTGGATACTGGCAGTTGCATCATAGAGTTTACTCTCTTACATGCTATTCTGTCCGCTATTGTTACAGGTGGTGGTGGTTTGGGTATACCTGCCGAACACGGCACTACGTAAACTATGTGTATTGTTACGAATATAAATGTATGATCTACTAAAAGTCTACGAGGAAATCTGGTTCTTTTTACGTTAATAAACCATTGAAAATTAGGAAGCCAGTGTTAGAGATCTAGTCGTCGACCTGACCTCCTGTTATGGAACAGGTTAAGAATTGGTTATGTTAAGACAACGCTCAAGTTAGAACGTATCGAAATAAAAGTTAAATTTTTTTAGGTGAGAGATAGCATTGCTTTGTCGGCAATTTGGTCTTTAAATAGTAACTTTACATTATGTAATTATTGATGGTTGGAGCAATAAGCTCCAGGATGTTTGAGTCAAAAGGTAGAAACATTGAAACAAATGCATGTACTTCGTGAAATGAGGTTAAATAAAGTAAACAAATAAGTAAATATCGTGTGTGTTGACTTTGTTCAGGATATTTAATGGATATTTTGGTTTCGTACATAGCAATTATGAAATATAACAATATGCACGTCCGCGAAATCCCGCCGGATCGCTCCATTTCCAAGAAATAAAGATTTTCTCTCTCTGAACATTTTGAAGGCAAGAAACTAAGGACCACATATCCTGAATTTACGATCGCAAAAAAATCGGTAATTCATTCACTGAAAAGAATTCAAAGACAATAAATTTCCAGGAACGTCACAAAATGTGTGATAATACAAGAAACATTTTAGAATTTAATTACACATTAATCTTACCGCCATGAATATTGTTAAATTACTCATTTAAATGGCTCTTTCGAGTACAAGACTGTCAACTCCTATATAGAGGATTTATTTCAGGAGGTGTAAAGATATGAATTTTATGCTCGAGTGGCAAAAACATCATATTACTCGTTCGCTACGCATACTGCATTGAAATTTCCTTCTCAGTCCAAAAACACTGACATGAGGTCCAGCGACATTCCTACATGCAACACATAACATGTCTTTTTAAATTTTCAGTCTTTTTCTTCAAGTCTCTCACGATCGCTTTTAGCTCGTAGAGCCTTCGGGAATAACAGAAACTTTTCAAAACGAGTAAACTCCAATACTTTTGTTCCACTCAAAATGTCTAGGTTTTGATCACGAATCAGTGACTCCGGCTTACTGCTTTTTTCTCCTGTGCCATATAATGTCACATAAACCTTTTTTGGCGCAAAATATATGCTCAGATATTTGTGCGCGGACATTATTTATTCCGAGATGCGAAAACTTTTAGCTTTGAGGAAGAATATTTGATGGATTTGAAGGAAAGTTACCCATCAACATAAATTACTGCGAGGGTAGAATCCTAAGCATGTATAACGACTGTGCCTCAGGAGATCTAGAAATAACTCGAAACACGTTTGTTGTCACTCCTTCATAAAGTTGCCTCGTTGTTCCTTTCTTTCAGCGAGTTGGGAAACTTGACTGTTAAATTTAACTTAATTTCATTTGATTGTGTTTCCGAAAGCTGGGGTTTATTAGTGCGCGATACTAGCCAATGAGATTTACTTCCTTAAACGGAGTTGTTTATCTTAAATTATTATCGAATGCGTGATCAGTGAAAGGTTACATGTTTCTGTTGCCATTTGATTTCAAGAGATTATGTGAAATATACTGGTTTGGTTCTATTTCATTACATTTATTATTTATTCCATTCTCAAATACAAATAATGACGAAAGAAAAATAAATAAAAAAAGATGTTATTCAGTGAATGACACAGGCATGCTCAGATAAAAAAGAACTCCGACTGCTCTCAATAGGAGTCAAACTTTCGACCTTCGTTTAGTACGTCGATCGAGTTTTCGGCCACTGAGCTATGGGAGGCTCGTGGCAGGCTTGACTGTTACGTGATGCTTATGTGCAATTATGATGTAAATTCGCCTTCTTTATTTACATCAAGGAAAATAAAGTTAATCACTGGTTATGTAAGATTATTAGGAGCTAATGTTAACATGCATTAGACAAACAGCGGGAAGTCCAAAATTTGCTTTCACTCCTACCTTCATATTTTGTAACCCAATTTTCCATTAAAATTTTGGTGTAGTTTTTTTTGCGAAAATATATCTTAGATTTCGAGAAATGATTCTTTTTAGTTCGACCGCTTAAATATGCAAATTTTCACCGTGAATATTACCCGAGTTGTGTGATCTCATGTAACGAATTTACTCGACCTCCAGTATTTCTGTCAACATAATCCTTTGTTTTATCATCTAAACTTAATCCCCAAGACAAAGACAGTTTTAGCAATGACCGATATGACAGAATCTATAAAAGCTAAGTTCTTTCGTTTGTCTCACGATGTAGTCACGTGTGTTGTAGATCGCGACGTTTCAACTGCATACTGCTAGTCCTCTTCAGGCGATGAGGTCGACTGGTCATGCGTGATCTTATAAAGCAAGATGCTCTGCTGTGATTAGTTGTTTTTTCGACAGCTCTGACTGGTGCATTTCGATCCTTGCTGTTCACTCAGTGATTTGCTCCCTCGGCGGTCCGCTGTCGCACGGTTCTGCTGTTGTTGTGTTTTCTGATCGTGGGCATCCACGCTTCTAGAATTTCTATTCCACTATCCCTGTTGATATTGTTAGGGTGAAGTCTTATATGAATTGCCTCTTTGACCCTGCTCGTGTAGTAATAAGGGTCACGATCAATAAACTTTACCTCGTTCCAGCGTGGCTTGTGTCCGGTGTTGTAGGCATGCTCTGAAACGGCGGAGGTCTCGGCACGGGCGAGTCGAATGTCTCGATCGTGCTCCTTAATTCTTTCTTGCATAGGTCTTCCAGTCTCCGATTTGTACCTTGCGGCATTCACAGGGAATCCTGTAAACTACGTGGATACGAAGTGGGCTGAATTTGTCACCGTGTACTCTGACTTTCCTGTTAAAGGAGACAAGATGTTGGCTAAGTGAGCGGATAAATCATATGCAAAGGTGTTTACGCACGACACGATAGGTCTTAGCGGTACATTGGCCTTATGGATTTTCGGTAAACCGTAGATTCTAGGCGGCTGTTTGTGTCGGGGTCTGATCTTGTTGTAAACGGCCTCTGACAGATATCCGCTTCGCTTCAAGGTAAGCAGCTTTTCGGACAACTTGCGATGTTAGTCTCCGGTGGTTCCGCCTGTTGAAGAGCCTAACATCACGAAGGAGATGCGAGATGCACTTAAAAGCCTGAAAGAAGACGAGTCCATCATGGTTCTCCCAGCGGACAAAGGGCGCGCTAGCGTAGTCATGGATACCGACACCTACCGAGCTAAGATGTCTACGCTTATTGAGAACGGACCGTACCAGCTCCTCAAAAAAGATCCGACAGACCGTCTGACCCGCAAGAAAGAAAGAAAGACTAGCAGTAAAAAGCAAGTAGAAGACTAGCAGCCTCGCGATCTACATCACACGTGACTACATCGTGAGACAAAGGAAAAAAACTTAGCTTTTGTTATTCACCACGATGAATAACCACAACCTTTTCTATGACAGAATCTACTGAGCTTCTAGCTTTTAAAAGACAAAAGGATGGTTGATGGTCATAAAGGTACTGTAAAAATCTCCCTGGGTATTTGCGTTATTCTATGGTGAGACGAACTCAAGGTCTGGCAAAATTTTCTTGCTAGCGACTATGAAATATACATGGTGTGACTTCTTGTCGCCACCGTTTACCGACATAAATCACTTCAATTTGTTAAAAAATCTAACATAATACTCAGTTATAATCTTGCCTTGTTTATTTAAGCTGTTTCGATGATCACGTTATGCTCTATCACATTCTAGCCAGATTTGAGTTCCAGTTTATATATCTTCTCCTCTTTAAGTTGCATGACGAGCGTGACACATAAATTCAAAGATGAATCAACCCCCGAAATACCAAGAGATGGTTTTTTTTCCTCTATGCATGATATCTAGAAAAACCTTCCAGGAATTAATGCATTCAGAAAACGAAAATGTCCACAGGCAGTGCAAGCTCCAGCTGTGAGATGATCATCTTGCGAAATAAGAGTCATGGCGAAATTAGAAGAGTTTGTATAGGGATATTTACGACGGCTTTAAGGAATAAAAATACAGTCAAATTCTCAGTAAAAATACCTCACCTTACTTCCACAGTGCATCGCTTGCTATCTGACCGCTTACTATGTTCAAAAGAACCCATTTTGGCGAGTTATCCATTTATAGGTTTATTACGTACATAAAAAAACCCAATGTATGTAGCAAACCTAGACGAGACACCAAAAGATATCGATGATTTTACAATTTGCCCCACTCATAGATAAAATCTCACAGTTGGTTGGAGTCGTGGTTCCAATAGTAGATATAAAGTGCCTAAAGACGTGTACGGCCATGGTATAGGTAGGGTTAAGTCGATTCCAACAGCCGATAGGAGAATTGGCAAGCGTGTATCACAAATAGTACTCAAGATGTGTGGAAAATTCATACAACCTGGCTCCGGTAAGTGGGCTACTTACCACCGTGTGCAAAATTATGCGTTCCGTCAGACTTAAGTCTCGATTGGAAATTGGTCAATTGGCTATCAAAAATTCAGACAGAAGCGGAGTTTTCTACACTAATGTCTGAACGCTTTGTTGGCTTTCCGCCGTCTGGCGGGACGCGTAATTATGGACACGGTGGTAAAGGGCCCTTCCGCAGTAGCTTCTGGACGCTGACAAAACTTGTTTCTCTTCATCAAAAATCACATCAAAATTTGTCCTTGCTGAATTTCATGAGTACTGCACGCATCAGCACCCCACGGGGGACCCCTATACATAAGAGGGCGGGGGGGGGTGCACGCCGGGAATTTCGAAAACGACTCCTAAAAAATGGTAAAAGATACTTGAGTCTTAGACGTGTGGGAGTGGCAACAATTGATGTCTACCCTTAAAATGCAATTCATAAAAAAAATTGAAAAATTATAATAATAAAAAAACTCCTTTATCGATGTGCTTTAGAGGTTCAAGTCAGATCATTAAAATCGTCCTAGTAATGCTTATTTCAGGTATTTTATTGAGAGAAAAACACCAGCTAGGTCTCTGGTAGTCTACTAAAGTTTGAGACACCGTAAAAGGTACCAGGTACCTATTTTTTTCCTTCTCTTCAATTT